TCTCTAAATCAGTTCCAAACCTATACCCCCAATCTCTCTAAATTCTTTGGCCGTTATTATAAACAGTACTAATTTCTAGGGCTTTATATTTCTTAATTGAAATTTTAGGTTATTTTGTGGTTGTATAAATTACCTACTGCTTCAGTTTTGATGAAGCAAAGAAGATCTTTATTTTCAATTGTAAGTAGTGGTTATGCTGATTATTTTTATCATTATTATTTCCCTACTCTTATTTCTTATTATATTATCTGGTTGATGGTTGATTGGTTCATGACTTATCTTCTTTTTTGTACTGTTGATTGTTGATGTCAGGAATCTGAGGTTGATAGGAGGAATATAAAGCTATCAAGGTAAATTTAATTTTTTTGTGAACAAATATATTAGGATATGGTCTACAGTATTCCATATCTTTGTATTAATTTGTTAGTTCATTATTTCGTTCTTATGTATATTTGAGCTGGTGATTGTCATCTTTAAGCATTGTGCGTGTCACCAATCCTTTGTACATGTACATGATGGACCCTTGCATTGAAACCCATGTTATAAATTTTCCAATGTTTTCATGCAATGCTGGTACTAAATTTTCTTAGATAATTGCTTGTTATAATGGTTTTGTTAAATCAAGAATAGTTGGTTAAACATATTAACTCCGGTTTCATTCATATTTGTATTGTTCTTAATATGCCCTGTGTAATTGATAGTCTGATGCTATATTCTTGGACAAATTTTGAAAAATGACCCTTTTTTAAATTTAATAGGAAAAATCGACCCTGTAACAAGAAAATGGGTAAAATCGACCCTTTTTTGCACGGGACTAGTAGTCCCATGCAAAAAAGAGTCGTTTTTGCTAAAAGTTAATCCGACCCCCTTCCCCCAAAAAAAACTCTGACAAGCCTGCTTTAATCCCAGACCCACCTCACTGTCACATCCCTCCTCTCCCTCCCCTTCCCTTCCTCTCGCCTCCTCAAGTCCTCCCTCTGCCTCTCCCCCCTCCCCTACTCCCTCCTCCTCTTCCACCTCCTCCCCTCCCCTCCGGACCTCTTCTCCCTCAACCTCCTCCTCCCCCACCTCCGCCCCTCCCCCTCTACTTCCCCTCTCCCCCAACTCCTTCACCTTCACCTATGAAAACTCAAGGAAGATCGCTCGACAAGCAAGATCGACTCTGACGGTGAGCCTTGGGGCGGCGAGGGGGTGTTTGACCTGACATGAAAATCCATGCACTTCGCTAAAACGCCGCTGTTGCGGAGGTCGAGACAGTGGTGGATGCTCACGGCGCTGAAGGGGCGACGGCATGGAGGAGACGCTGGTGGGGACGACTGCTTGGAGATGGGCTCGGCTGCGGGCGACGGTGAAAAGGGGGTGCTGGGGCGTTGGCGATGGTTTTGAAGAGAGAGAGAAACGATGGATACGAAAAGGAGAGAGAAAGATGTTGACTTTGCAAAAGCAACCTTTTTTTGCACGGGACTACTAGTCCCGTGCAAAAAAGGGTCGATAATGCCCATTTTCTTGTTACAGGGTCGATTTTGCTTATTAAATTTAAAAAATGGTCGTTTTTCAAAATTTGTCCTATATTCTTTAATAGTCAAGGTTGCAGCAAGCATTTTCTCCACCAGCATACAAGTTAAGGGTTGTCCTAAGGGTGGATTAGTATGCCATGGTTGTTTAGAATTGTATGCATGCATATTTTTTAAATTTGCTTGAGACCTTGGTACAGACTGCAAAAAAGGATAATCAAAGATTCTTGCTAAAGCTCAGGAATCGAATGGAGCGGAAAAGATTTAATTTTGAATTGAGCTTTGTTTGTTTGTTGTTTGTTTTCTGTTTGTTTGATTAATTGGGTAATTTTTTGGTTTTTTTGGGGTTGGGATTGATAATCCAGCGATTGAGGTCCATATCGAGCATTTGAACATTGATACAGTATCTCAAGTAAATTTCATTAGAAAGCTACGAAGAAGTGAAAAACTCAAGTTCTCTACAGATGCTTTATCCAGATCTGTCTTAAATTTGCAAGAAACCATGAACAAGATGCCCTATGAACAAAAGAATATCACTAAGAAGTACAAGATGTTCTCCCCATTTCAATACTAACACTATCTTCACCTTCTTGTTCTTGTATAGTGGCTTGAGATCGAGATTGGCTACAAGAATCTGAAGGGACATTGATCCCTGCAAACCCTACCATGACGAAAGCAGCTCCGAGGTACTCGAGCAAGCCAGGGGCTCGTCCTGTGATCGAATCAACAATGGCAGCAATCGGGACCTGAATCGAGAGACCAGCAGTCGCTACTGTAGTCGTCGTCAGCTGAGTTGCTTTCACCCACAAATAATCACTCAGCACATTATCTAATAGACCTGCGATAGCAAACAAACAAACAATGTTTTTTTATATTTCTATTCTTTTGATCTCAGTTTTGTGTAAGAACTAGTTTCACAAAACTGCCACGAACTCTGGAGGGTTTCAGTTTTCACACAAAGCTACCAGAACCACCCTGAACCTATGAAACTGCAGAACATTGCCTTTCCGATAATAATGGAGATATGAACACAAACCTTTTGCCACAATGAGACTGAATTGTTTAAGCTTGAGCCTATCAAAGGCATCCTCCTTCGTCAAATACAGTACTAGGACAACAGGCAGAAAGATCAGAAAGTTGAAGAACCCTAAGAATCCGAGGAATTGAGCTGTACTTGCTCGAGCTTCTCCTTCTCCCTCATCAGGCAATTTCTTTCGTATCAAAGTGATATAAATAGAATATGTAGCAGCAGCAGCTAGAGAAAGAATGTCACCTACGACAGGGTTTTTTGCGTCTGCACTCGTTCCACTTTCTGAATCGCCCAAGCTGACTATTATAGTTCCTCCCATACAGAGAAGGATACTAATTAGCTTAACCCATGAAAACTTTTCTCCTAAAAATGCTAAAGAGACCAAAAAAGTGAAAAGGCTCGAAGTGCTGCTTAAGATGGTATTAGACTGCATCAAGTAATTAAACATCCATCACAACCCTGGCACTGGGAGTTTGAAACAGACATAAAAAGTAATTGTAGATAGAATATAGTTAAATTAAACTTACTACCCCTGTAGTTATATTGCTGCAGATAGACCCCAAAAGAGTTCTATTATAGCAAATAGACGTCCTGAGTGAAAATCTACTGTTGCAGATAGAACCCTCTGAAAAGGTTAAGAGAAAATTCACTCTGGCGGTCTATCCTACAAGGGTAGTAAGTTCAATGTGGCTACTGTACAAAGGGTGTCCAGAATTTATCCAAATGAGAACTGTTCCGATGAGATAAGCACTTACTGTCACAGTGGTATATTTGAGGGAGAGATTAAAAGCAAGCTGTGCAAAGAACCAAAATGGGCATATCAACAAGCTAACTTTTGCCACACGAGTTCTTGTCCACCGCCCTTTTGCATCAAGTTCATCACTCAAATCTTTACTAGCTCCATTAGGACTCAATAAAGAGTTAGACTCTGAATTATGATCTACTTCTGGTATAAGATGTACATTCTCTAAGGAATCAACTTGTTGCAATTCCGTGTCATCGTCAGTTTTCCACCAACTCCAACTAGATCTACTCGAATCATCAAAATAGCGTGAAATCTCAACCAAAGGGATGTAAATCATAAATAGAGAGTTGCAAATGTAGGTTAGTAGGAATGGAGAGACACCGGCATCTTCGACTGATTGGACTATATAACTAGCAGCAATCCATATTGCTGCAATTGCAAAAATATATGTCAAACCTAAAATCCAACGATATGTATCTCTGTCCATCCACCTCCTGAATGAGTTGCAAATAGGACCGAACACAAGATAATCCAAACTATGATTGTTTCCTGTTTAACAAAAAACATATTAATATATTCGCAAATATGCAAAGCAATGAGGGCCTAAATATCTTTCAGGAATATTATTGTCAATTCAGCAGAAGCGAAACAATGGCACTAGTCTAACTTCAACATTCTTTCAGATAATGGGGATGAATAAAGTAGTCGAAAAAAGAAAGCTTATTGTATGTTTAGAAGCTACAATATGTCAGGAGCCTTGAAAAGAGGGAAAGGAAAATTAAGTGGCTAATTATCGCATTGCTTGACCCGATTCCACCCCCTCCTCAAAGTGATATCGATAAATAAAATGATCCGTACGCCAAGCTGGGGCTTGTCTATACAGGTTAGCTTTCTCCAAATTTGATCATACCTTCTTAACAAGTAAAGATACTTAATTGCTAATTAATATTTATTTATCAACTTATTTTGCATCATCCAATTATTCGTATCCGTGTCACAAACTATGATATTTTCCATACTTAAATAATTCTTTTCATGAAAACCAAGTACTCAAAGATACTAATTACCATGACAGGATCCTCCAACCAAATATTCCTCTTAAATTACCAATAGAGTAGGTTTCACATTGTGAATATATGCAAGAACTTAACCTTTTTACCGCTATTTGAGAAATAACTGATTGAAATATCTTCAACGATACAATTATTAATAACTAGCACATAAAAAGGATTACATAAATTTCTTTTTCAAGAATTTTTATTTCATTCTATTTAAGATAATCCTGGGTGAAGCTTGTAGCTCATTTCAAGTTTTTTGAAAATTCCCCAGACACAGATTGAGCTAAAATCTAAACGCACATCAGAAATCAATAAAAACCCAATATTTAAAGATTATTTTTAAAATATATAGATCAATTTAGCTCTATAATTCATACAGAGTGAATAAAAAATAATATTACAACTAATTTTTAGTAAGGGGTTGTTTGGTTGGTTTCCTAAAATCAAAGAAAAAAATAGGTACTAGGAAATCAATAAAATTTGATTTTCATCCATTTCCATCTTTAAAAATCACCCACACCAACCAATAATATGGTGACAACTCATCTCATCTCCTTTCTTACTTTTAAGAATGAACCAAATACAAGAAATGGGTCACATCATCCATCTCATCCCATATCATCTCATCTTTAAAAATCACCCACATCATCCAATAATATGGTGACAACTCATCTCATCTCATTAAAATTTCTTTTCCATCCATTTCCTTAAAAAAAATAAGAAAATTGGTTTCTTTAAGTATGAGTCACATCTTCCAATAATATAATGGCAACTCATCTCATCTCAACTATTTTCTTAGTTTTAAGAATGAACCAAACATAAGAAAAGAACCTATTATAGAAAATAGGTTTCTTATAATTCATTTCCTTATTTTTTTTATCCAACCAAACAACCTCAAAACAAGTTTTCTTAAAAGATCACTCACATCATCCAATAATATGGTGACAACTCATCTCATCTCATCTCCTTTTTTACTTTTAAGAAGTCAACCAAACACAAGAAAAAACTTATTATAGGAAATATGTTTCCTATTCTTTGATTTCCTTCTTTTAAGCCAAACAAAGAGCCCCTAATATGAACAGGAAAAAAAATAAAGGGAAAAAGAGAAAACTGAATGAAATCGGGAGACCTATGAATCCAAATATTTGAATTTTGAGAAGTAAAAGACTGAATTTTATCAGAGATCTCGATTCCACAAACAACGAGGAGCCTCGTTTGGTAAAAACGAGAGGAAAAAGAAAAACGGGTCGAATTTTGACCGACCCGAGTATGCGAAACTTTTGGTACCCGCTAAAATCCTTATTTGATTGATTAGGACTATTTGATTGATTAGGCTCAAAAAAAATTTCTATTCATATTTAGCCTCAACATAATAGATTCATAGAAATAAAATGTGACAGGGTTCCCCAACATGAACTCAGGCCTATAAGAAGCTGCTACCATCATCTAATTTGATTTCAGGTTTTCATTATACATTGTATTGTTTGTGTTTTTAGTCCAAAACAAATGAAAATGAGGCTTAATGTTTTCCTGGTCTTTATTATTTTCTGTCAATTAAACTATACTAAAACAATTCCAGTACAAGGTTTCTATGCACCCAAGTTTCCTAATGCAGAGGGGATCGTTTTCGATTATGTCAGGAGACATATTCCGAATGCACCATCACTGGCTCCTGCCTTCTTAAACTGCACTTCATCGATTGCTTTGTGAGTGTAGAGTACTCACAATTCGTATATTAGTTGTTTATATTATTAAGTTTAATTTCTTGTATTGTTGATACATTTTCGGGGATGTGATGCGTCTGTGCTATTAAATTCAACTTCCAACAATAAAGCAAAGAAAGAAGCAAGTTCGAACGTAAATCTTCGTGGGTTTGAATTCATCGATCGAATTAAAGAAAGCCTAGAAGCTGAATGTCCTAGTGTTGTTTCATGGGCTGATATACTTTCCCTAGCTACAAAAGATGCAATTGGAGCTGTAGTAAGAATCATGTTTCTTAAACTATGGTAATTTATGTATCGATGAAATTATGTTCTTTTCTTGTTTTGTACTACAGGGAGGCCCTCATTGGCGGGTTGTCAAGGGACGAAGAGATGGACTGATTTCTAAGGCATCAGAAGCTGAAGAAGAAATTCCAAAATCAGATTTTGATTTTAACACACTCATGAGATCCTTCTCGAGCAAAGGGCTGAATGTGACAGATCTAGTTTTCTTAAGTGGTACACTAGTATAATCACACACACTTCAGTGTTATTTTTTTTTGGATAAATCTCCCAAAATTCCATGAAACTTGGGGGCTTTGCACAAAGCCCTCTTCACTTTAAAATTAATGAAAACCCATTTGGACTTTCAGATAAGACTAGATCCTTCTGAACTATTGGAAAAATCTCACAAACCACGTAAATGGGTAGAGCAATAACTTTGAATTATGACAAATCAAAATTTGTGATGATAATTTGGAATGAAGCATCCATATGGAAGAAAAAGACACGATTACCGGGTCACATCACTAGACTTTTTGCTCTACATGTTAAAGCCATTTATAAGATTTTTCAGGGTTTTCTTTATTTATGAGGTTTACTGGGTTTTGTGAAATTTAACTTGTTTTTCTTCATTTTCCCATAAAAGTAAAAAAAAAAAATCCCTGGAGTTTGATTTACGAAAATTTATGCCGACAGGAGCTCAGACCATTGGTTATACTCACTGCACATTCTTCAGCAACAGGCTCTACTAGGGGTGAGCATTCGGTCGGTCGGTCGGGTTTCGACAAAAAAAATGACAACCGAACAGCACTGACGATCTCAAGAGAACCGACCCGAACCTAACTGTTACGGTTCGGTTTGGTGCGGTCGGTTTACACCCTCGAGCTCACTGTCGACGCCGCCCTCGCCTCACAACTGCACTCAAAAACAAAAACGTAAAAAATAAAGGGACTAGAAGTACCTGGGTGCAGTACGAACACGACCATCCCTTCACCGACGACGACGACCTCCCCCTCTCCCCCTCCCTCCTCAAAACCCTCCTCCGTCGCCTCGCTCCTCCACTCCTCGAAGACCCTTCGACGAAGCCCTGGACACCCTCGAGCTTGCCGCTCGATTACCACCCTCTGAGCTGCGCCGTCGCCACTCGACGTCGCCGCCGCTGGCTGAGAGGGGGCTTGGGGTGGGATCTTGACCGAGGGGGCTGACGGAGAGGAAAAAGGCTTCGTAATGGTGTTGATTGAGAGAAGAGGACTGGTGCTGGCGGCTTGAGGGGGCTGGCGACGGCGGGGACCAGATCGAGAGAGATTTAGGGTTTGATCGAGAGAGATTTAGGATCGGGTTCTGAATGAGGGAATTATATTAGTCGGGTAATGGGTATTGGGTATGGGTTACGCGGGTATTGGGAGGGTGTGCAATGTTCGGTCGGGTCGGTTTAATCGGCTTATACTTATCTAAGCCCGACCCGAACCGAAACTTTCTCAAAACCGCACCGAACTGCCCAAAGTCGGGCGGTTCGATCGGTTTGTTCGATGTGAGCCGAACAATGCTCACCCCTAGGCTATACAATTTCACAAGCTATGCAAATCAAGACCCTACACTCGACGCTTGCTATGCTGAGAAACTAAAGGAAACAAAATGCAAAACTCCTGAGGATAGCAAAACTCTGATTGAAATGAATCTGGAAGTGCTAAATTTTTCGACATTTGATATTACAGGAATGTACTCAGCAAGAGAGCCTTATTTCAATCTGATATGGCTCTTTTGACTGATTCCTTATCTAGATCCTTAATCTTGAACATTGTCAGTGCACCGTGAGAAGATTTTTACTTAGATTTTGCTCTGGCTATGGAGAAAATGGGGAGGATTATGATAAAACTTGAGATGAAGGTGAAACAAGGAAAAATTGCGCAGTTGTGAACGACTAGATTGCAGGGATTTTTTAAAGAGTTTTATTAAAGAATGAATGTAGTGTGTAATAGTATTATGAGTTCCATGAACAAAAATTACTTCTGGTATATGGGTAATAAAATTAGACATGGGTTGATGCAGATCTAGGAAATTAGCATGAAAGAACAATAAATAGTACTAATTTTGCAAATGATGATGGTGGAAATGTTGCAGTAATATTGTGATCTTTTACAATAAGTAGTAGCTTATGTTGGTACATAATTATATTGTTGATGACCTTAGGCAGGAGAAATGATTATAGCATGGGTGGTGATTATGGAAAATGATTATCACGACAAATAATGCAACGTTATTCATCGGTTAAGGTACAATGTTTCAAGTTTTGCATCATGAGCTTGTAAGTTATGTCTATTATTATTCCAAATATCTGATACTTATAACATTATCATGCAAATCTCCATGTTTAATAGTTTATCTTCTAATTTGTGACCAGACTATTACAATTTAGAGTGTAGATTAAGCTATCGGGTCGGGTCAAACTTATAACCTGACTCGTTTGTTAAACAGTCTTAATCAATCAAATAAGAATTTTAGAGGGTACTAAAAGCTTCCCATACTCGGGTCAATCAAAATTCGACTCGGTTTTTTTCCTCTTGTTTTTACCAAACTCCTTATTGTTTGTGGAATCGAGATCTCTAATAAAATTCAGTCTTTTACTTCTCAAAATTTGAATATTTGGATTCATGTGTCTCTCAATTTCGTTCAGGTTTCTCTTTTTCCCTTTATTCTTTTATTCTGTTCATATTCCTGAAAATTAGTTGTAATATTATTTTTTATTCAATTTGTATGAATTATAGAGCTAAATTAATGTTTTTTAAATAACCTTTAAATATTATATATTTTTATTAATTTCTGATGTGCGTTTAGATTTTTAGCTCAATCTGTCTGGGGAATTTTCAAAAAATTTGAAACAAGATACAAGCTTCACCCGAGATTATCTTAAATAGAATAATATACAAAAAATTGAAAAAGAAATTTATCTAATCCCTTTTATGTGCTAGTTGTTAATATGTGTATCGTTGAAGGATATTTCAATCAGTTATTTCTCAAATAGTGGTAAAAAGGTTAAGTTCTTGCATGTATTCACAATGTGAAACCTACTCTATTGGTAATTTAAGAGGAATATTTGGCTGGAGGAACCTGTCATGGTAATTAGTATCTTTGAGTACTTGGTTTTCATGAAGAATTATTCAAGTATAGAAAATATCATAGTTTGTGACGCGGATACGAATAATTGGATGATGCAACATAACTTGATCAATAATATTAATTAGCAATTAAGTATATTCACATGTTAAGAAGGTATGATTAAATTCGGAGAAAGCTAACATGTATAGACAAGTCCCAGCTTGGCGTATGGATCATTTTATTTATCGAATATCACTAGGGGTGGAATCAGGTCAACCAATGCGAAAATTAGCCACTTAATTTTCCTTCCCCTCCTTTCAAAGCTCCTGACATATTGTAGCTTCCAAACATATAATAAGTTTTATTTTTCAACTACTATATTCATCCTCATTATCTTCTTGAAGAATGTTGAAGTTAGACTAGTGCCATTGTTCCGCTTCTACTGAATTGACAATAATGTTCCTAAAAGATACTTAGGCCCTCATTGCTATGCATATTTGCGAATATATTGATATGAATTCTATTAAACAAGAAACAATAATAGTTTGGATCATCTTGTGTTCAGTCCTATTTGCAACTCATTCAGGAGGTGGATGGACAGAGATACATATCATTGGATTTTAGGTTTGACATATTTTTGCAATTGCAGCAATATGGAATGTTGCTAGTTATATAGTTCAATTAGTCGAAGATACCGGTGTCTCTCCATTCCTACTAACCTACATTTGCAATTCTCTATTTATGATTTACATCCCTTTGATTGAGATTCAAGGCTATTTTGATGATTCGAGTAGATCTATTTGGAGTTGGTGGAAAATTGACGATGACACGGAATTGCAACAAGTTGATTCCTTGGAGAATGTACATCTTATACCAAAAGTAGATCATAATTCGGAGTCTAACTCTTTATTGAGTCCTAACGGAGCTAGTAAAGATTTGAGTGATGAACTTGATGCAAAATGGCGGTGGACAAAAACTCGTGTAGCAAAAGTTAGCTTGTTGATATGCCCATTTTGATTTTTTGCACAGCTTGCTTTTAATCTCTCTCTCAAATATACCACTGTGACAGTAAGTTCTTATCTCATCGGAACAGTTCTCAATTGGATAAATTCTGGACACTCCTTGTACTATTGCTACATTGAACTTACTACCCTTGTAGTTCTATTTGTGGCAGATAGACCACCAGAGTGAATTTTCTCTTAACCTTTTCAAAGGGTTCCATCTGTACCAGTACATTTTCACTCAGGGGTTCTATCTGCGATAATAAAACTCTTTCGGGTTCTATCTGCAGCAATATAACTACAGGGGTAGTAAGTTTAATTTAGCAGTAGTACAGGGGGTCTATCTACAATTATCTTTTTATGATTGTTTCAAAATCTCGGTGCTAGGGTTGTGACGGATGTTTTATTACTTGATGCAGTCTAATACTATCTTAAGCAGCACTTCAAGCCTTTTCACTTTTTTGGTCTCCAAACAACAAACCCTAATCAACACTCACTATAAACATCACCAAAAAAGAATTCCTGAAGAAATTGATCCTAAAATCAACCAATTAATAGAATAGGAAAACCTAGGGTAAAATTAATAAAAAAAATCCCTAATCAAATATCGTTTTCAACCCAGAAAAGAGATTTTTTTTACAAGAAATCAATCTAAAAAATAACGCTAAACAAATATTCCGCAAAAAGGGAGAAAAAACTGACCTTGAGAGAATTCGAGGACGCAACAAGAGAGAAATCCGGATCATCAAATTAAAAAAAGAAAACGAAAGGGGGAGGGGCCTTATTTATGTCAGGAGGAAGCCGACTTGGTCAATTAAAATAACCACCCGGTGTGATTACCTTATTTTGCCGTGCTGAAGGACCCCGGTTAGTTTAGGAGGTGTTTGTTTCAAATCCTATAATTTTAGGATATGGATTTTACCATGGGATTTGAAATCCATAGGTGTTTTGTTATGGGTTGTGATTTCTAAAATGTTATTTGTTTTATTAATATTTTGAGATTTTGAATATTACAATTTGTAATATTTTATTTGTTTCAAGCTCAAATTGTAGCATTACCAAATGCCAAAAATTTGTAATACCATGAATATGCTATCTTGGTGAGGTTACCTCCCACAAAAAAACAAAATTGGGATTTATCAAATCCTCTCTAATTGAGAGATAAGCACACTCATTTATGGATTTGCCAAAATCCTCTTCAATTGAGAGGATTTGACGAATTCTAAAAATTGGGCATTTTTTATACTTTTGGGATTCGATATTCTAAAATTTTTTAAAAACAAACACCATATATGGAATCCCAAAATACAAAAAAAAAACTCACTTTTTGATCCCAAAACTTGTAATCCATACCAAATGCCAAAAAATTTGGTGAAACAAACACCCCCTTAAGGGATTTGCCAACGCTTGCGGTGACGGGAACGGGCGGATGAGAATAATTGAGGGGTGAGTGATCGTTAGTTAACGCTGCTAGATTTGACGGTATGGAGCTGATGTGGGCCCTTATGGGGTGAATTTGAAAGCAAAATTCCATTTTACAAGATTCGCACTCTGAATAGCGAATGAACGTATGTAAGAACGTTATCATTCATACGAATGCTTCCATGAGAGAGGGTGATTGGACCTAGTTATAATTAGGCATGGCCGCATGAGCATAATGCAAAGTAAACTATGCAGGGAAAATGGAGTACTATTTCTATCAGAACCATCTGCATGCGAGCGGGCAGTTCTAATGCTCCATGTCCTAAACAGGATGGCAAATTGGGGAAAAAAACCCTAGTGGCTCAGAACCGCCGTGTCATGCAGGTGGTTCTGATAGGATGCGTGGTTGAAAAAGTGATATTCATCTCAATAAATGGTTAGATAATAGGAAAAATATGCAAGACAATATATTTTATGTTACATTGTAGTTAAAAACTTATTGTTAGAAATTACTTCAACCTGACATACATAATTATTCACATTTAATATCGTTCACTTCTTGACGTGCATAATAAATTGAACTACCTCAAAGAAGCCAAATCTCCCTCACCCCCTCCCTCAACTAAATCTTTGTCTCTGAAGTTAAACTATACGCATCAAAAGTTGCAAATGTTTACTTCTCTTTGGTCAAATTTACTTACATTATGTACAATCATACCGAGATCCCTATTCTCACGAGAAAATGTAATATGAGTGTATGCAATGTAATATGAGTGTATGCAATGTTTTAAAATTTTCAAAACATTTTAATTACATTATGTACAATCATTTTAATTTTTTTTCCCTTTAAAATGGGGTTAGCATCCTAGACGGAAATAGGATTAAAATGCTAGCCCCACTTTAAAAAAAAATTAAAACCATAGCCGGCGCACACCCCTTCTCTCCACCCCCGCCACAAAACTCCCTCTCACCTGAGCTGAAAACCTAGAAAACCCCAATGGCATTAAGGAAACCAGCATTAGTAATTGAAATCAGTCCACAGCGATAAAATGAGCTAGTTTGCACTCCGAATATGTTAGTAGCTAAATATAGATATTTGATATTTCATCTTTTACATAATTTTATTCTAGCACATCGCCCAGAGATTCTTGGCTGCATACCCAAACCCCAAGGGCATTGGGCATCTCCAACGCAACGGCAAAATGCCGTTGCGTTGAACTGTTCGAGCTCTAACCGTGCCGCATGTTTCGCGGCACTTTGGATGAGATGAACAGTGCGATACCAAATATTGCGCCATACTATTCATCTGTGTTATTACTGTACATTGTTTTAAAAATTTTTAAATATTTATTTTTTACCTCTTAATTAATATAAAAAGAAGATAAAACGGAATAAACTGAGAATATTCTTTTTTGGTGTAAAAAATGGTGCGGTTGGAGATGTATTACTGTTTGATGTGAATTTTGCGCTATTTTGATGCAAAATTTACACCATTTTGATGCAATGGGTTGGAGATGGTATAAGGATATCTAGAACTTCAGAATTCAGATCCTAGCGGTAGCTCAAAAAAAAAATCTACTTGATGTTGGGTTATTTAAAGTTAAAAAAGAACCGAGGGACTTATAACCAAAAAAAAACCTGTAACTACATCTCCTTCAACCTCTTCCTCTTCCTCCTTCATCTCCACCTCCGTCTCCTTCGTCGATTCCTCGTCCACCTTCTCCCTCTTCGCTGATCCGTCCTTGGTCTCTTCCTCATCTCCTCTCTCCCTATTCGAACCTCCATTGGTTTCCTTCTCGCTCGCTAGGGTTTCGGGAATCGAGGGGGCTGCGTCGGATTCGATTTTTTGGGGGATTGAGGGGGTTTCTTCGGCGATGGATTGGGGAGCGTCCGCCATGATCGAGGTTGGGAGAAGGATTGGGAAACGAAAAGGGGAGATCAGTTGAGGTCCTAAAACCCTAGCTTTTCCTTTGGCGGGCGTGCGTTTGCTAGGGTTCTACCCTAGTTTGCCACCTCCGTCAGCCCACCCCGCCGTCGCCCCATGCCATCGCCTGGCCAGGCCACCGCCGACTCTACTTGGGTTAAGGTATGTTTTAATTTCATGAAATATTTCAATATTATAATTTTCGTAAATTATTGTTTAATTTTAGCAAATACCGTAATTTCTAAACCAAAATAAAAAAAATTGAATATTGTAAGCCTAGAAAAAAAATCAGCTATTAACCGTTTCTTTAATCCATAATTTGATAATATTTCGCCATATTTCATCAACACTTATAATAATTATAAACCCTAAATTAAATACATTTTTGCCCTAATTAAACAGAACTTTTAATATTAAACTTAATTTTACCATAACTCAAATAAATTTATTAATCATTTCTAACCGTAGATATAACCCTAAGTTTAATTTTACCTAAATTAAATTATACTAATGTGATTATATAGGTTTGTGATTTGAAAATGTGTGATTTATGAAAGAAAATGTTTTCAAAAAATAGAGTGATATATAACGCAATATTACGTAATAATGTGTTATATATCTAATTTAGGTGAAAAAAATATAATGTTATTCCTAGATTCTTTTCCAATAATTACAACCAATTCTTTGAGGTAATAACATAAGATAAACGAGTCAAATTTGGGTAGGAGATAAAAGTTTTCTACCCAAAAATAATCGTTCACTTTATATTATAATAGGAAAGAATTGATATAGAAATTTGTAATTATTGGATCTGTCCTTCTCGGACGAGTTAGGAATAGTAGTGCATACATCCAACTTTGTACGTTTTCATTTCTTAAAAATTTTGGCAGCACGTACCCGTTGTTCTCCGTGTACAATAAGCGTATGTTGTTCTGCATTTTAGTCTATTGTCAATATGCATAATAACATCCGCACAGTGTATAGGGAGAACAGCGGGTAGGTGTTGCCGAAACTTTTAAGAAATGAAAATATGCAAAGTATGTGAAGTTGGATGTAAGCAATACTATATTCTTAATGACAATGTTACATTAAACGCTGGGCGCTTCTAGGTGTCGGACTTGGCGCCCAGCGCTTAGTCGCCTAGGTGGGGGCCTAAGCGATTTTTGGACGTTTTTTTTTTTCATTTAAGTGGTGGTCGATGAGGTTTTACTGAAGGTCGGATGTAGTAGAGATGTTCATATTTGGAGGTTAATAGAGTTTGGAGGACGTGTAGGCTACGACACATAAAATCACAATCAAGGCCTACAGGGTGCAATCTACGTAAGCAAACAATGCTCCCCTAAACGCTCGTAAAATCTAGGTGGGCAGCCTAAATACCGTCTAGGCGCTAGGCGCTAGTTAGGCGGTCTAGGTACCGCCTAGATCTAGGCGTACGCTTAAGCGGACTAGGCGAATGTTTTTTAAAACAGTGCTTAATGGGATAGAAGCCTTCCTATGACAGTCGCTAGAGTGTGCTAATTAGTCTCCATACCTTAATAAGTTTCAAACTTACCTCAATTAGCCCAACTTAAAGGCTATATCGTATGTAAGTGCTCCTACTACAGTTAAATGTGATGCTTATCGTAAAATTTCACCCAAAAAGACCTTGGTAATAATTCCAACGTGTAATCATTAAATTCAAATATTCATTCAGAAGTCCACAAATGCAATTTAGCATACTCCAAATTCATGTTTTAACTTAAGCTTGAGGTATTGTGAGACACCTACATAGTTAGGGAGTTGGGTTGGGGTGAGGTGAGGGGTATGTGATATGCAGCACCCAAAGTTCAGGATGATTATGTGAAATTAACCCTAACAAAAAAGATATCGACAAGTACGTATACACCATGTTTAAGGATGATGTGTGTATGTATGTATATCGTTTTGAAAATTTTAAAATTTATAGTATACTATATATTACCAAATAGAGTTTCTAATTTTATATTACCTACAGATGAGGAAAATTCCTGATAAGTCATGGATAGATATTCCTAGGATCAAACGATATTGCGATCGACGTTATAAGAATGGATGTGAAGCCTTCATGAAGTATGCCGAAATGAACCCAAATAATTTAAGTAGCGGTGCAATATACTGTCCCTGTTGTAGGTGTAAGAATATGAAGCTGAAAAGTAGAGAGGAAATACGAAGTCACTTAACAAACTCTGGGTTTTATGAGAAATATAAATATTGGTCCTATCACGGGAAGGTCGTATGGAAGATGAAGTACCGGATGTGCATGTCGATACCAGTCATGGTTTCAAGATAGATGATACAGAAAATTTACAAATTGATATTGAAGATGAAGTACCGGATGCACAGGTATTCATCATCTTACTTTTG